AAAGTGCTTTATTACAAAATTAGACACAAAGCATTCTATTGGGGGTAGCTGATATACTTAAAAACTGTAAATTATAGCATGATCAAAAACTATCACTTGTTGTTTTACAATATGTAAAAAGAAAAATGATTAGTGGTGAAAAACGTCCGGCACTACCAATGCCGCCATGCTATGTTGCATCGATACGTACTAATTCTACTTACTATACTTACTTTTTTACTATAGATACTTTTTCTTTAATAATCTCATCGTGTACAAAAAGATTCCTGAGCAAATCAAGACGTCTCTGAGCTCTATACATCACTGTTTCATCAAACAGCATTCAATTTTAAAAACGCCCCATGTCACAAAATTAATCAGAAAACACGAAAAATACGTCTTTCATTTTTTATCCATAAGTCTAACAAACTTAGGGTTTGAAGGAATACGTTATATCTCATTCTGTAGCCCTATCAATTCTGCATCTATCTATATACAGACTATACCTAAGCTCTGTCCGTAGAAGAAACTATAATCATTTTTATGTCTCACTATCGGAAAAAAATCGAGATACCTGTCAGCATTTGTCTGATGTGTTTAGGAAGACAAACTCTTGAAATAATGTGTTATAGGTCATTTCGTTATAAAAGACGAGACAACGCATGGGTGACGTCCTGAAGCTCTGTATACATCTTCTGTAGAAGATGCCGGAAACGAAAAGTAATTTTTTCTAAACTGACCGTTAACGGCCGTAAACGGTCACGGCGTAGTTACGGCCTTAAAACGACCGGCGTATTTACGATGTAGTTACGGCCGTTTACTGCCGTATTTGCACCGAATACGGCCGTTTACGATGCAAATACGACCGCAAACTGATTTATGGCGGTCGTATATGACTGTTTTACGGCTTTTGTAAAATTGGACCGGGGCAGACAAGAATAAATTTAATCAATAGCCTATCTGTGTAAGGAAATTTAATTAGAGACGCAGTTCTGTTATTTATTCATTGAGCTGTTTATTCAACAAGAAGAAGGTGTAACTGAATGAAAAGCGGCAAATATAAATAATTATCAAACGTTCTGTCCAGCCGATATCAATCTCAAACTTTGCTCATGTTTCGTGCTACACTGAGTTGGAATGAGCTCTATATCTACAATAGGAAAACCGTTTTGATTATAGAAAAACCTCAAAGTAGATAGTTGATTATCCAAAATGAATATCCAAAAAAATTTAGCTTCCTCTTTATACATTTTCTCAACACATAAAATTTGAATATTTTCTTCCACCATCCGATACTAATTTATGTTGAACACGTTTAAATTTAACATACAATTTAATTTCATGAGTAATTTGAATTTTTCACCGGACATGGTTTCACATTCTTCTGAATAAAATCGACGAACAAGATATACCACGTATTCCCCCGTATACCATTTTGTTTCAAAAAAATTAAATTGATTTTGTGAAATTGACATTTTTCTTTTATTATTTCTTGGTTTTTTTCTTCCAAAACGTAATCCACGACAAATACACTTCTGTATAACGTTACCAAGCTGTTTTATAATAGTTAATCGATGACGAATATTTGGCATATTTGTTTGTACTAATGTATTATGATGATTTAATAAAATCAAACCATTATTCAAACTTGAATAATCGATACGAGTTTTGTTTCTTAATTTCATTTTAGTTATAGATTATATGAAAGAGAAGGGAATAGATTAAAACACTTGATTTAAATAGCAAATAATCAGGAAAAAGACAGTCAGTTTAAGTACGATTTAGTTTTCGTGCGTTTATATACTCTGACTACAAATTAATATGTCCACAGTTGTTTAAAAGCTAAATTGGTGTTATTTAATTAAGAACAATAGTATATTATTCAGTACAAGTTGCGTGTTTAAAATACAAATCTCATGGCTGTTGATATTCTAGTTGATAGTGTGTCTATACAAATAATTACTATAGTAATTAAAGAATATCGATGGGAATTTTTAAACCAGATTATGTATACAAGGTGTTTTCGGCAAAGCTATACTCTATTTAAGAATAAATACGTAAAAGCTTTGTCAGAACTAAAATATATCATTATCCACATGCATCATTTTTGTTTCACTTTCACTTACGTCTCTCTGTTATCAGCAAAATCATAATTAAAAGTTTTTATATTACTACTGCTACAAAATATGGACCCTAAAAATACGAACATGGTAAAATTTGTTGCTCTTAATGAAGAGTCTTGGAATCACATGCCCCTCCAAGAGAATACCCTGCACGTGTAAATTGTTATCTTAGATCACTGTCTTTGATTTATTTTAGTACGGAATCTGCTCATTTTAGTTGAAGTATTTAATTTTTTTTCTCTTTGCGCTATTTCTTCATTTAAATTTTCTTCTTACACACAATACTTATATACAGCGACTGTTTCTCTTGAAAAGCAAAATATACAAAAGGAAATATAGATCAAAGCGAAACTAAAAACAAATCAATCAGAGAGTTGCACTGTTCGAAGTCTTAGTTGACTCTCTTGAATGGTTTGTCGCGAAAAAACACTCATTTTTTATATGTTGTTTTGTATAAGTTATTAAAGATGATCCGAGACTGGAATATTCCAATTTAACTGAACATATATTAAATGGAACAGAGAATCAACATGATTATTAGTACGTGGACGTACGCCAATGGTATCATATAAATTCCAAAATTGGATATCAAATTTTCCGGAGATATATGTTGTTATTACATAATCAGTTAATTTTATATATTTATCATCTGTATTACTTAATGTATCAATAATTAATTCCATTGAATTATTAAGTTCATTCATAGGTAACAATGGCAATGACATTATATTAGCTATTTCTCGTCTAATTTCTTCTTTTTTACAATCTCGAACTAAACC